TTATATTATATTATTATATTATATTATATGTTATTATATTATATTATATTATTATTATATTAATTATATTATTATTAATTTATTAAAGAGGTATACCAACAAACATACCAACATTATTTGTTTCTTTAATACACTGATTTGCAGTTGACATTTTTCTATTACAATAAAATTTGCTCAATAAACTCAATAAATTCAATGAATTTAACTCAAGCAATACAAGACAGCGTCGAGTTGTCATGAATCATAAAGGTTCTAGATGGTTATGTCTATCTCATTTTTCGGTCCTAGTGAAACTAACTCGAACTTGAATTATCGTAAACACCCTAGATCGTTCAAACCCCGTTTATTCGAAAACGCTATAAGACCGTCTCGACCAATGAGCATCTAGCATCAAGGCGCCATATTGATATGCTATGCTATGTAAATCAATATGGCGCTTTTATGCTAGATGCTCATTGGTCGAAACGGTCTTCTACTATGCATATGCAGTTATGCCAATTTGTGTACGATGGCCCTAAGGAATAGAGGGACGGAGCACAAGCTAGAGACCCTAAAAAGAGAGACTCGCCAACTCGTCACGTGACTGTTAGTGGACTCTGATTGGCTGGTGTATGGATCGCACATTTGTGCCCCGTGTGCACCATAAAGCTACACTGAACTACACTATAGGTCTGTTCTTTATAGCTAAACTGGCAGCACTAGTTCAGAGTTTATCTTTTTCCTTTTAATGTGGAAGGAAAAAGATAAACTGTGAACTAGTGTAGCGAGTTCAGCTATAAAAAACAGACCTTATGAATACCGGCCATAGTGTAGTTCAGTGTAGCTTTATGGTGCACACGGGGCACAAATGTGCGATCCATTGAATAAAAAGAAACAAGAGGGAGCATATACTAGCCAGGACTAGGCAAATCCGCGGACGGATGTACGTCATGGCAGCCATCTTGAGCGACCACTTTTTGAAAGTGAGAGGGAATGCTCGAGCATAGCGGCAAGCGGCATACCGTACGCCGTACGCATTAATATGCAGTGTATAGTTTTGTATGCAACAGTGTATAGAAATAAACAATCAAAATGGTATACTGTAGAGCTTGTGGCATAACAGCAGCAGCTCGAAATCATGGAATAACGTTTCATCGGTTAGTATTATCAACAATAATGAGATTTTTATTTTGGAGATTATAATCATATGTATAGTATTGTGAAATTGTAGATTCACAATAATTACTAAATAATTTTCACTCACAAACAGGTTTCCGAAAAATCCGGATCAAAGAAATGCATGGATAAATTTTTGTAAGGACGAAGAATTTAGTATAAATTTAGATTTTAGATTTTAACATTGCTCTTATGGAAATATTGCACGAGTGCAATCCCAATGAAAAACGCCATTAAAATTTGGTATTATTGTTGCATATTATAGTTATTTTCTTTTAATTGTACATTATTTCCTAATTAAACATAACAAGTCATTCAATATTGGCGCCCTTGAGCGGCCATCTTGAGCGACCACTTTATATAGTCACTTCCGTCCGCACTTTTAAGACCAAACGCTCCCTCCTGTTTCTTTTTACTCAATGGTGCGATCTATACACCAGCTAAGAGTCCACTAACAGTCACGTGACGAGTTGGCGAGTCTCTAGCCGAGAGCACAAGCTTTTACATAAAGCATAACGCATAAGCATAAGGAAATTGATTGGTCTATATATAAGCATAAGCAAATGCATAAGGAAATGGACCAATCAATTTTTTTATGCTTATGCGTTATGCTTTATGCAAAAGTCTGTGCTCCGGCCATCTCTTTTTAGGGTCTCTAGCACAAGCTGTACCGGGTGAGCACCATAGACATAGGAATATAGGGACCAAGCATATTGATGCGGGGCGGAAGCTACTGCGGGACGGTGCGACGAGGTAAAGTGTGCCTAAATTTGATTGGCTATTAGTTTGCGCAAGCGCGATGTAAGTATCGTGCGACTTCCAGTGTGCATGGACATAGGAATATAGGGTCGGAATGTAACGTCGCGAGAGGAAAATCACTGAAGGAAGGGGACGAGGTAAACTGTGCATATTTTTGATTGGCTACTATTTGACGCAAGTGCAATTGGTCATTATTCGACGCAAAAATATTATGCAATTTGGGCAGATATAATGAGCATTTGAAGTTATATCAAGAAAACACATTAATTAAAATTGTTATTTTAAATATATTTTGTGAATATAAAAAATGGTGCAGTGTTTTGTACAGTCTTGTAAAAATAGATCCGACTATCAAAATTGGAAACAAAGTAATAGCAGAAATAATGTAAAAATAACATTTCACAGGTATTGAAATTATTTATTCATATTAAAGTTAATATTATATGTTTAAAATAATATTATATATTTTATTTTAAGAGTATAAGTTGTTAAAAATATTGTTTTTTTTCTTAGTTTTCCCAAAGATCCTAAAACTCGTACATTGTGGTTAGATATTTTGGAAATAAATTCATCATCTATCCCAAGTACAGCTCGTATTTGCTCTGTCCACTTTGAAGAGAAATTCTTTGACAGAACATGTTTGATAACTCGACTTAAACGAAATGCATTACCTAGTGTATAATAACAACAGCATACGTATAACGATAACCAATCAGATTCAGGCACAGTATCATGGCGGACCCCCCGCATTTTGGCTTCACTCCCCTCGTCTATCAACCAAGTTTTCGCTCCGTCCCTATATTCCTATGTCCATGGTATATTTAGATAGGCTATGTTCCTTCCAGTATATATGTTCTAAGTTCAAACCCTGTATAATCGAAAACGCTATTAGATGGGTGATCGCTTGGGAACACCGCGTGCCGTTGACATCTCTTTTTTTTTGGTTAGCCAATAAACATAACTAATTAATTACTAATGCAGTAGAATTTTTATTGAATGTTGAATGTTCATAAAATAAAAAATATGCTTTACTAAATATTCAAAAGACAGGTGATTCTTTAAAGTAATTTACATTTTGTGATAAGATTGTAGAAATCTCTTGTTATTTTTATTTAGATTTTAAAATATTAAATACACATATTACATATCAAAATATAATATATTTTCAAACATATCTTTACATTGATTGTATTTATAGTAACATGTTAAAAAAACTTAATCCATTATCACAACGTCGCAATAAAAAAATATATCTTCTCTTACATTGTAGTGTTATCGGTTATGTCTTCAGACGAATTTTCCCTGTGATAGTTGGCCTGTTTGCTGACTTTTAACAAGACCATCTTTCTCATGTCAATAGCGGTGCGTAAGGGTCTAACGTAAGTATTATTCTTCGATTTTCTGTAAAATGGACCGCTGTTCTTGCAACTCGCACATTGCTTTCGCAAGTGCTGTAGGATTTTCTTGTTGCACACAAATGAAATGAAAACGATACTGCCTTGCAAGGCATATAATATGTGTAGAGGATACGCTACATTGAATGATCCGTACTTCCACACTGCTGTTATAGTCCACCTCAGACTTGTAATTATATCCATCAGAATAAATAGTTTTAAATACACGATAAACCTGTGTGTGTAAATACATTTATGTTTATATTTTTCGTCGCTAAAACTGAACTACACATAAGGCTAAATTTTACTTTTGCTAAATTTGAGTTACCATTTTGAATGTTCTACTATAAAATTTTTTTGAAATGCATAGTTACAATGTTATAAATGTACATATAAACCTTTGCTTATTGTTATCGTTGCAATTGCTCTCCGAGTCTCTCAGATGATGATCAACGTCTTTCTTGATACATACAATTTTCAATATTGTAAAAATAAAGCAACCAATGTTACCGACAGTAATAATACTCATGAATGTGTTGAAGTATGGATTAATTGCATCATCCGCTAAAATAGAAAATAATATCTTTGTATTAATTATTTTATGAACAGGTGTTTATAACTTTGATTAGATGCTTAAAGTTTAATCAAACACAAAAATTGTGCGCAACTTTATGCATAATTGTATCATGAAATTCAATAGATTGTTAGCGCTAATAAAAAGTCAAATAATAGTCACCTAAATTGAGTATGTTGAGGCACATTTTTGGTTGAATATTCTTAGATATATTGGAAACAAAATTTATAATCGCCAGTATGATAATAAAACCACAGGTGCTTCCCCATGCATAAATAGAACACATTACGTACATCTTTCTCTGTGATTGCTTTACGCTTCTTTGTGTCGAACGAAATCCTCTGCAAAACGTAAATAAAATTTGGACTGGAATTAATTACAGTTCGTTCTTGATAAATTGCAGCTTGATTATAATTGAAATTAAATTATTCCAATAAAAGAAAACTGTTTCTCATGGCAAAAAAAAATATTACAAATAACATCGAGATTGTTTTTCCTTTTCTTCAGTGAAAATATAAAGTTTTTGGCTAAAAATCGTATGAAAATTTACCCAAATGTCCAAAAAATGTCGAAGCATATTACACTTTGCCACAGAAAGCTTGCTATTGAGAAGAAGTAAAATATAAAAGCTGAAACAATCAAATAAATAGTTTTAGTACTCATTAATGTGCTAACAAAATTTACATTATTAAATTATTAGATTGAATTTAAAAATTTTCGGCTTCCGAATCGATTCGAGAGCGATTAATCGAATTGAATACGGACTCAAATCTTTTCATTTATTCCATTAGGCTCGCGCGAGCTTATTAGCTTATATAATAAATATACATATTGCATTACTATAATGTTGCGCAAGATATACCTATTCCAAGGCAGCTGAAATAGTTCAGATCTACTTTAATGTATAATGCGACACTTTCGATGAGCAGAATACTGTATATGAAGAAAAACGAGATGACGTATGAGCGCAACGCGTATCCGTGCAAATTCCGTAGCTCCGGACATACAGAATACACGATGAATGTCATCAGCAAACCCAATGCGGACACTATCATAAGTGCATTAAAGATTATCAAATATATCCACATTGTCTCTTTCGTGGTATATATTGTAAAGTCGCAAAAAGTTACGTTGTTCTCCCATGCTCTGTACTCCGCAAGGAGACAGTCGGATATCCGCGAGATAAATATATCACGACGTAATTGAGGCGAAGAGCCGTTGTCGAAGAACATCGCATTCTCGTTATTCGTATACTTGTTAAACGAGAAGTGTTCTTCCTTGCATGTAGCGTTGGCTATAACCTTAAACGCTCTCTTTAAGTTCGCATTACTCGATGTGACATTCGGCCATTGCAGCAAAACAAAATAGTCCTGCCAAAACACGCAATGATCCTTGATTAATTGACAAGTATTATTACATGCATCGTCATTCTCATTGGATTTTACACGAAGTTCGTGCGTAAAATTCTTGCTTTCATTGCTCGCGGTATCGATGCCGGAATTTTCGCGCAAATTGTGCGCCAAATCGTCTTGATTTGCATTAAGCTTCTGTGGCATTGTCGAATTGTCTCTCTGTTCATTGTCATTTGTAAAGTTTTTCCAGTATTCTTTGTCTTCTCCCAAAGACGAAACGATAAGCAAAAATGCGCAAAACAAAAACGCGAGACTTCGTCGACACATCGTTGAATTGTTGACACACCGAATTTACTAAAACCACTTTATTCTTTTACATGGTTAAATACACTTCTGTAATTGTAATGTTAACTATACAAACAAAATTACGCGCAATAACGCGTAATAACTTCAATTTGTAGCAATTTTTTAGAACAATTTTTTATCTGAGCAAATAGAACGAATGATAAAGTTGCTTCAGCAAGCGCGCAAGTGCACATCAGGAAACTGAATGACAGGAAAACAGGTTTTAGAAAATGCTTGCTAAGATGTTTTGTTAAAACAGGTTCTTGATTAAATTATTGAAACGGAAATTGTTGAAAACATGTTACAAGAAAAATTGTGATAATACAAGTGTCCTTGATCAAATTAAAGTTGCAAGTTGCATATTTTTATTTAGAAAATTTTGTTAAACAATGAAAAATAAATTATCTATGATATTATAAAATCTTTTCTTTTTCTCATAAATGCTACTCAAAGATTTATAATCAGCTATTATTTGATTATCCGATATCATCGTAACCGGTTATAAACAAGTTTATTTATATACAAATAAAACTTTGTAGCTTTTTATATAACGTTGTGAAAAATATTCTGTTATTTATATTCTGCAAGTTTTATTCTAATAATATCTAATAAATTTCTTTTATTGTAGAATTATTGCAATCTGCATATACGGAAGCAGATAGATAGAGCGAATGTTTTTCGCGAGAACGTTTTTATCGACATTGAACATTTTTATCGACTCTAAATCTAATAGTTTCGCATTTTCGTCGCATGAGGTTCTCGAATCAATTTCGGACTGTTTCGGACTCTTGTTCGTTACAGTTTGTCATTCCTGTGCAATTCATAAAACTCGTCTAACTTAAGTCAACTTGATATTGCTCAACTTTATGTGACCTAACTTTGAAACAGATGATTTTGACAGTTCTGCTCGATTCATAGAATTGTGTCAACAAAAATTTGAGAAGAAACAATGGAATCCACGTGCAGCAAAGTAAAATGTCGCGCGTTATGAATTATTAATTTTTTCCTAATTCTCATTTAATATTTATCGCAAATGATATTGCAATCTAAGCGTTGTTTATTACAGCTCTTTAGATTACATTTTATTATTCTTGCTTTAATTGCTGAATTTTTTAAAACAATTTTTTTACTTTTAATTAATTTTTCAAAAGATATGGATTTAATAAAAGTAATTATTAGTTCTATTCTTTGATATAAATGGATATAAACGTTAATATAAATACACAGGCGAAATGATAAACAGTTATTAACACGGCTGATTTGTAGGATGAGCAGAGTAATCAGGAAGATTCTGATTCATCAGAGATGGATGAGATAGAGCCTAGGCTGAAATATGTGAGGATACGCAATGATTTGGAACATATTCTACAAAACGATGCAGCTAGTTGCATTGCTGTACATCCAAAAGTGAGATTTTGATTTGGTTGCAAAATTCTTATTTAAAAAAAAAATGAAATATTTAATTTTCTTGGATTCCAAGTATTTGAATGCAGATATATATATGTCAAATATTTTTATTTTTACATTATCTACATATTAATGCATATTCTACTTTATCTGTATATTGATTTTTTTTTTTTTTTTTGTTTAGTTCCTATGTCTGGGATCACATTGGGGAATGATTCATCTTCTAGACCATCAGGGAAATAATGTAAAGTCTAAAACACTACAAGCACACACAGTGGCAGTCAATCAGATTTCCATAGATCATAATGGGGACTTTATCGCTTCTTGTAGCGATGATGGAAAGGTTTTCATTTACGGATTATATAGTACGGAGAACAATCACAACATGAGTATGGGCAGGCTAGTCAAGAGTATAGCGATCGACCCAAATTACTACAAAAGTGGCAGTGGCAGAAGGTTTATTACAGGTTTAACATATCAGATTTTAACTGAATACAGTCAAGAGTCTATATTTCAGATATTTTTGAAATTTGATATTAAATATCTTTGCAAAAATTATAATAAAATGTATTGCAAACATAATTAGAGTAAATCTAAAAAAGTATTATGTTAGTTTATTAAATTATGCAGACTAAGTAACATCATCAGAACAAAGTTACTTTTGTTCTACTTTAAAACAAGGATGTTATGTTTAGGATAATGTTAAAAGCTTGGCTGTATTTTATATAATTTTTAGTTAAATTTGATCGCGAATTAATGTTTAAAGTTTATCTTTAATAAGTATTTACAATTTATAGGTGATGACAAGCTAATGCTATATGAAAAAACTTTCCTGGCGAGGATGAAGCCAACAGTACTCTGTGAGGCGGAGGGTGGAGTCAGATCTATCGCGTGGTCTGGTCGTTTTGTAGCATGGGCCTCTGACACGGGTGTAAGAGTCTATGATCTTGACGCTAAGTGCTCGTTAGGACTTATCAAGTGGTCTCGTATAGCAGAGTAAGTACTGAAATATAACGCATGCACCATTGTATACAAATTTTGACAGAGAAATCTCTAAGTGTTAAATAAATGGTGAATGAAAGACAAATTTGTGGAAATCACTCATTGTTTTTCTTCTTGTGAAAACAAGTGCTGTAATAAATTATTTGAATTTGAATCTAATTTACTTGAAATAAGAATGTTTCTTGCCAAACTTTACATGGTTCAACATGAAATGTATTATGTACAGCACAAAGGTTCTTATTTTATATTTACTTAGGTTATATATTTGTATATTATCTCATGCAGCGCATCACCAGAGCACTACAGATGTAATCTGCAATGGTCAGATGACAGGACATTGCTGATAGGATGGGTGGACATTGTACGAGTTTGTCATATCAGGAAACGTACCATGCAAGAAATGGTCAATCGAGATTTGCCTGAGTTCGTGGTCGATCCAGGTAATTAACGAAATATATGATAAGTTCTGAAGCACAAATGTTTGAAAATTAACATATTTTGTAATATGTATTGACATATTTTGACTTATCTTGTATGAAAGTGAATACTCTGAATATAAGAATCGCTTAACCACAATCACATCCTTTCAGTGTCAACGTTCCAAGTAGACTTTTATATATCTGGCATAGCGCCATTGGGGAATCAATTAGTGTTACTAGGATGCTTAAAAGAGTTGGACGAAGATGGAAAGAATCAACGTCCAACTCTGCACGTAGTTGAACCGAAATACCAGGATTTTTCGGTGGTGTGTGCAAACTCCCTCACTTTACGCGGTTATAAGGAGTACAGCTGCAATGATTATCACTTAGATTGCTTGAAGGAGGAAAATAGGTAATTTAGAGCGTGGACGATAAAGTGAGAGTGGTGTGTCGCTTGGCTATTCCAATATAATATACCTTGCAGTTTTTTTAAATTATAAAGATCTTGTTTTAATCTAATCGATTTCATGTACAACACTTTTTTGTAGGTTTTTTATTGTAAGTCCAAAGGATATTGTGGTCGCGAGTTTGTACGACACAGACGACAGGATCGAGTGGTTGTTGAGCCACGGAAAGTTCGAGCAAGCTCTTGAAGCGGTGACAACGAACAAGGATTGCAAGAGGCATACTATATTAGATGTGGGGCGTATTTATTTGGATAATTTATTAGCGTGCGAGAAATATGATGAAGCTGGGAAACTTTGCCTCAAAGTTTTAGGACAAAACAAGAAATTATGGGAGGAAGAGGTAAGTGATAAATTTTCATAAAATTATTAATCTTGTCCATTGATTTATTCGTTTTGTAAATTTTTTTTGTTTTTTAATTGTAATGTATTTTTAATTATTCTTTATTACGCAAGGTTTTCAAGCAACATATTCAAAGTTCTAGGAATTCTTCGCATTTTTTAATAATTAATTTATATTATTTAACTTGAGGCCGTAGCTAATTTTGTATTCTATTTGAAAAATGTTTCTCTCGAATGTAAATGATTTTTCTTTGTACGAATAGGTTTACAAATTCGCCAGGGTGCATCAATTGCGCTCGATCTCGTCCTACTTGCCTCGCGGTGAAGTCACCCTCGATCCGCTAATTTACGAAATGGTGCTGTACGAATATCTAAAGATAGATCCCGACGGTTTCCTGCAGCTGGTCAAAGAATGGTCCCCGGACTTGTACACAGTGGCGGCAGTGGTTAACGGCGTATTGGAGCATTTATTAGTCCACAATCAACGGCAAAATGTATTACTGGAAGCGTTAGCTATTTTATATATCCATGACGGCAAGTACGATAAAGCGCTCGCCATGTACTTGAAACTACGGCATAAGGACGTCTTTCAATTGATCCAGAAGTATCAGTTGTACAATTCAGTGTACGACATGATCGAAGGTTTAATGGATCTTGATACGGAACGTGCCATACAGTTTTTTCTAGAAAAGGACAGAGTGCCGTCGGACGTTGTCGTGCAGAAACTGCAGCACAATCATCGTTATTTATATTTGGTAATTGCTCAATGACTTATTTTTTTATTTACGAGAAATATATTTACAGTCTCTGTTAATTCTTTCGATTTCCTTGAATTCTACTAAAATTTAAATTAAACTTCTTTGAACTCTCTTCAGTATTTAGACGCCTTGGACAAGAGGGACACGAAAGATTCGAAGGGCAAGTATCACGGCTTGCTGGTGCGATTGTACGCCGATTATTCGAGAGACAAGTTACTGCCGCTTCTACGTCGCTCGGACAATTATCCGATACAGCAGGCTCTGGATATCTGCAGTCAGCGTCGGTTTTACCCGGAAATGGTGTACCTGCTAGGCAGAATCGGGACCTTTTCGGAAGCCTTGGCGCTTATGACGAGGGAACTCAACGACATGGAGAGTGCGATTGCGTTTTGCCAGGAACACGACGATGAGGAACTGTGGAACGATCTATTTAACTACTCGCTTGATAAACCTGGTAAACAGATTCGCTGTTCGATTCCAAGAAAGTATCTGGTTTCAATCATTTCGCTTTTACATTCATTAATTTTCACGCGTTTCAGCGGCTATTACATTCCTCCTCCAAAAGATCGGCACTTACGTCGATCCCCGGCTCTTGGTACAAAGGATAGAACCCACGTTGGAGATCCCAGGGCTGAAGAGAGCATTGGTCAAGATGATGTGCGACTACAATTTGCAGGTGTCAGTGCAGGAAGGTTGTAAGAAGATACTGTCCAATGATTATTTCAATCTGCACGAGCGACTTGTTCGTTGTCATCAGAAGGGCATATTTATCGACGGTAATATCAACGCGACTTTGTTGAATTACTTATATCCAAATAGCCAAAATAATGCATTCTAAAAATTCTCAGGCTAATTTGAGTAAAGAAATTTCAAAGAATTTTATATACATGTAATTAAATTTTCCTGAATGTTAAATATCTTTTATAGATTTATTACGACTTTTTACGATATGAAATAAGATTTTCACTAACAAGATTCTTTTTCTGTAGATGATCAAATGTGCGGAGCTTGCCATAGGAAGATAATTATAAGAGGTGCTTGTAAATGTTGTAGCTAATTATAATTTTAATTATATGATTATATACATAACTTACATTCAAATTTTGTCCTGCAGAACCGCGGAACATGATTGTATTTTATTGTAAGCATTGTTTCCACGAGGATTGTCTACCTGACTTTGAATTAGTTGTACGTATAATGTTTCTTCTGTATTAATTTATGTTATCTTATTGATATATCATTATCGTGCGTTTTATTTTTCAGGAGAATTGTGTGATATGCAACTCGCAGAAGAAAGTGACGCCTGGCAGGAAATGATGAAGATAAAATCGAACGTTTGTGTGACATGTGCAATATCCAAAGCTCGAAGTGGACTGTATAGTTTACTATTTCACTGTGTGATTGTGATACACGGTGTGATGACATATAAACGAATTTTTACATAATAAATAGATTGCTTACAAAGCGGATAGATTTTAACTGGGAAATTACGGTATGAAAATCTTTTTTTTCTTCAGTTCGTGTAATCAAATTTGAGAGGTTTTTGTCTGCTTCCTTTTGTTATTAATATTCTATTTTACTTTTTTTAACACACGGGATAGACCAAGGAAAACTTTTAATCTAATTTATTTTGTTTTTGAAGAAATCTATCAGTCATACATTTCTTTTGAAAACGAAGTTGATCTTTGAATTGAATTTTTAGATAATGTCGAATTGATTTTTCTTGGCCTATCCTAGTTTAATAAAAGGTTAGTTAATTGAATTATTCATTTTTCCATTTCTAAATCTAATGCAATCCCATTCTTGCCCATTGAGGCTATTTGTAAAGAAAAAAAAAAAACTAAAAATAATAAAAAACCTATGATGAAACATCGCTTCAGCAGTACATTCGTTTGTTCGCAGATCACGTTTTCGTATTGGTAAAGTTCCAGATTTTTGCTCCTTGCTTTCGTAACGATACAAGGACAAATGTGCGTCATCCTTACGTGATATGCATCCTCTTCAAGATCCATGAATAATGAGCCTTCTTTTCCCTCTTGACAAACCGTCCTTTTCACAGAGAAACTTTCTGAACAAAGTAACATTGTTTTTTTTTATTTTTTATTTAACTTATTGAATTAGAAACATATTTCCTAGACATTTTACTGCTTATGATCAAAAATCGTCAAGTACGTGGCATGTGGTAAGATGATCGTTATCTGAAACGTTTCTGTCAATCATAAGATTCGTTATATTGAAAACTTGTTATTCTGAAGGTCTTATAATTGCGCAGAACGCAGTTTGTAAATATTCTTCGATACAGTTATTAATAGTATGGGCAATTTGCATTTAGTAGTGCACTTGGTCTTTCGATGCAAATATAATAGCAAGGAAAAATAACGAAGAGTGACCGTAAAAAAAAAAAAAGAAAAGGCCCGAATCGAATGAGTGAACAAAAATTTTTTTTCACAACAATTTTAATCAGTAAAGTTATCTCAAATTTGTCATGAAGTTAGTTTTTTCCTGCAGTGTTAAATTTTTTCTAGATTTAAATAGTATTTGTTACGTTCCTATGGCAATTCCTATTCTGAAACTCGTCTTTAAGCAATCATTATGATTTTCGTTGTAATCGTTGGACGTGCAATATGGCGGTAAACTCGGTCGTCGCGAAAAAACGAGCGGGCTTACGCGCGCACGTATGCAATCTGCCTAGGACGTCCGGCAGCACTTTGCCGAAATTACCACCGAACGCGAAATTCTACAGCCGCTGGAAACGGAGTCTTCAAAAGCTAGTGCTTGTCTCAGCTCGGCATCCTTTAACGCGATTGATCTTACGCAGCCAGGCGGCTGTTGCCTTTGAAAAGCGAAGACAGTCGAGATCACCTCATCGATGGATGATTCATCCATGCAGTATGTTAAGGTTTGAGAATATTAAATGGAATATTGAACAGCTTCGGTTTTTTTTCCTTGATTGACAAGTATAAGAGATGCATTAATATTGTCGCAGATTCTACTGGGACATATTAATGACTGCCATCTTTTTGTACATCTTCGTGATGGTTCCACATATCACATGCTTCTACAGAATCGGGAGAAGTAGCGGTCCTGAACGCTGGAATATTATTTATCCCACCTATGCCGTTTGCATTGTCGATATATTTCTGAATTTCTTCACCGGATTTGTGTCCTTGGATGGATACGAGATTGTTCTTGATGTTACTTTAATAATGAGGTAATTGCGCTATGATAACTGATCTATTTCTTAATGGACTCATTTTTAATTTTTTTATTCGAAATAAAACTAAAAATTCTAAAAGTGACATAAAAAATATTTACACCTGCAAGAAAATTATTACAGCGAGGTGTAAATAATTTAAAAATAAGAAACATTTGAAAAATACCAGTCTACCTTGTCGTTTTGTCGTTGACACGATATAAAACTTTTATCATATTAGATCCAGAAGCATATGCTAATCATGTGCGACGATACTGTTATGCATTTCCGGTAGTGTAAACTTATTTCATGCATCGCATCTTTATTGATTTAATTTGATATCATATTTTTCACGAATTTAATCAATCAAATCGGCAACGGTCGCAGGCGCATATTTTTCAAATTTTTTATAATTTTTAATTAATTATTACTTAATGTACACATTCATATTTATGTTTGCAATGTATTCAACATTTGTATTATCTACAAACTAAAATTTTTTAATTTTTTATGAGCAAGTCCATTTCCATTAAGTTTCTTTTTGAAAACTTCAATATATAAAGCAAAAATTGTATGCATTTGTACAGACATTATGTGAAAGGCTATTTCTTCGTTGATTTTGTCAGCTCACTGCCATATCTGTGGTTTTACCCGACACGTATTTTACCGCCTGGTCCTGATTCGAACTCTGTGTTGTTAATCGTTGAATTTCTGCCTATTTTGAAAATATTTCGCATACCCACAGTACGACGCAATCTTCAACTAATCAATGAAGTAATTTATAACTATATTGCATAGTTGAATATCTTTATTATTAAATTAAATTTTAAGGACAATTGAAATTATTTTGTACAGAATTTTAGGATTCCTCAAACGCAAGAGACAACAATATGGTTCGTTATCCTAACATTACTCATTTTTCACTGGAGTAGTTGTGTAAGTTATGTCTTCCCATACATCGTCTTGCATATACAAGGTGAACCGATAGAGGTACGTTCAGTCATAATATTTTTATTATAATTGACGCCAAATGTGTTAAGACAAAGAATTTGCTACAAATTTTATCGGCAAAATACTGCCGCCAATCCACCAGCATTGCCCTAATCTTTTGCTTACCCGAGAAAATCTTAACCTTTCAAAATTGTCCATTAATTTTTTCCATATTGAATTTCAGAGTTCAAACGCATATTATAGATCAATGAATTTTTATGATGAACCTGATTGGAAAGTATACTTGATATTCTTGCACATCGGAGTGAGTAATTTGATCGGCTCCAATTTCGTCGAATTTAAAAACTTCGGAATTTTGGATACAGCGATACGATGCATACTTCTGCTGTTGGGGAAAGGCTACATGATCTATCTGATCGGTATTAAATTGTCGTCGTTTTATATTTTTAATATTAGACTCCGCAGCAATAATTTTTTTACATACATTTTTGAAACCTTGCTTAAATAACTTTGCAAGAAACACTTTTTTCTGTCCACAGTTACAATTCTGCAACTTTTGGAATCGTCGGCAGAGCCCGATCTCAAATATCAACGAATTATACATCAAGTAAAGGAGTATATTTGTCAAAAAAGTCTTCCGCGTTATTTGCAAGACAAGTTGATCACGTATTATGAATATCGTTACCAAGGCAGTTCGTTGAAGGAGAACCTTATATCCGACACTCTTTCAAGTTAGTATAAAGCAAGGAGGCTATAGAGAGTTATTAGAAGTCATTATTAGCTCTCTCGCTACATAAATCGATATAATTACAAGTTTTGCAAGCGGGATCGTAAATTATTATGACACAAGAGTAATAATCAATGTTTGCAGTGAAATGATGTGCGATGGTGTGGTACGCCATCGTTGGATTTTCAGATCGAAAAGCATATTATTTTATAGACATTTTATTGCGCGGAAATTTAAGTTTTTTATATTGATTGCTTCTTTCATGTATGCAGAATTTGGTAATTTTAGAAACACATTCCATCACTATCCACATATACCACCACTATTTTCTTTTTCACTTCGAGTACTGATAATAACATTTCACACAATGCGAAAGAAAGAAACTGTCTCTAATATGTTTCAATGCTTTATCTAGATCACTTAAATCAAGAAATTTTATTACATAGTAGTCAAGGATTGTTAGACACCACAATTTTCTACAATTTGCCCCTCAATGTTCTCAGTGATTTACTAAGTAATTAACTTTTTCTCATAATAATAACGATATTAGTTATGCAATACTGCTACATATAATATTGTACAATTCTCATATAATAATAATTTATAATTATTATTATTATTACGTATTGTATCAGTTTTCGATTGTGAAAAGTTGAAAGTTTCAATTTGAACGATAAATCTGTTGTAGATTCCTTTAAATCAGTGATATATCTCCAAGGTGATGTAATTTACAAAGCTGGGACTGAAAGCGATTGCATGTATTTCATAGCCAACGGAACTGTTGCATTGATCACATTTGCTGGAAAGGAGGTAAGTCATTGAAAACATCAATAAAGAGAAGATAAATTTATATTTTGCTCGGAAAATTACGGTGAAATAATATGCGATGTGTTTGAAAGATTTGTCACTTGTACGATGGTGATCATTTCGGGGAAGCTGGTCTGATTTATCTAAATCAGCGTAGAACGGAATCAGTCATCGCCCTCGAAGTATGCGAGTTATTTCGTTTGCATCGTCGCGATTTCAAGCGTCTTTTTACCGCAGATTTGGAATTTTATTGCACTTTGGAAAATAGAGCGCAAGAACGTTTGCAAAAAATTAAGGAATTGGAAGAGGAAAACTTAGATAAAACGAATAATGTATAATTTTATTTTAATATACGCAATACAATACAGAAAAAAAAGAAAGAACTTGATTTTAATTTATTTCATTTATAGTGCGTAAAAATTGACTTAAAAAGATAGTTAATTAAAATTTTTTAATTTATTAAACAAATTTCGTAATATATAATTTAAAGGAGAATTAATTACAAAAATATGTTTCTTAGTTTAATTATTTAATTTAATTCTAGTTTCATGTATCGTTTATGATCGTTTTTTTTTAATCTTTAAAGGGACGTGCAGGCATGTTGGGTCATGGATAGTGATCCTTTCCGTCTAATGTAATTGTCTAATTACGTAACACGCAAGTATCTCTAATTCGTGAGTTATATTACTCTATGGCCCATATATTTTTCTCACGGGAAATTTTTTTATGTTAATTTTTAACATTGACCTTTTGAGAGTAGCAGAAGCGTTTTAAATTTGTAGCTTTAAAATGATGCATCTTCTCAATATAACATTTACTAGCACGAAGCGAAGAAATCAATCGGTGATTTGTGTTTTAAAAATAATCTATCTCTCCTATGTTTATCTTGCAACAGAAGTCAAGTCTGGGGATTATGAAGTCTTTGCTTTTCAGATTTTAGTCTGCGATTTACTCTGAGATTAGCTTCTACGAAAATGCTTCCTCGATTCGACCTTGATGTCTGCGGCGGATTACAGTGTGGAGAAATCGTTGTGTCAAGAGAGAGAGATGCGATGTGTATGGCTATGCATGCGCGCCTGATTCACGAACGCGCGACGAGAGAGGGGCATGTAGCTTCATTGCGTAACAGTCTGTTGTTTCATGCTGCAGAAAACCATTGCGTCGTCGTTGATGCAACTCTCAAAAATACCTATGATTTAACTTCCACATGTGCCTAGCGTATGTATAAAATTGCAGGTGCAGCAGTGAACTTGCACAGGATATCAAGCGTCATTAAGCTGTTATCGGACTGTACATTATTAATTGAGATTAATTGAGAAAGAAATCATGAACTTGTATTTTTGTCATACATATTCTCATTTAATATTCTGAAACATGCTAAATTTAGAAAATTACAATTATTTATTTTGACATAAGAGTTCTTCAAATTGTTTCTCCTACGATAAGTTGATGATACAAGCTGTTCTCTGGAGCGAAGTGTTCATGAAATTCGAAATAACCATGTGACGATTATTTAATTGCAAAAATTTATTATCAACGTAAAATAATTTTTGTGAGTAAATTATATAAAAATAATAAATCATTGTGGTCCCATGAAGCGATCTCCATTTTTCTAAAGAGAAAGAAGATGGTGAGAGGGGGAGAGAGGAAATTAGTGAAGGGCCGCCTATTTTTACGGCAATTACATCATTAGACCGAAAATTTGTGGCGCGGTTCAGCAGAGCGTGGTAACTTTTGCATCTCTACTTCGCTCGTCGCCTGTGCCAAGCTTGGTGTAATACAGGCGATGTCTTCCCCACGTCTTCGGCCGCGTGTAAATACACTTTGAACGAACGAGTGGGAGATTGACGCCTCCCTAATCGGGGACGGTAGCGCGCGTTCTCGTCAGTCAAATTGCAACCATCGTCGTTACATGATTATTTAACGTTGCATTTGGTGTGTAAACACGATTTCGGCGCGCGCGGCTCGACCTGTACGTAAAAATAACTGCCTCGTGAAGAACTTGAGCGAGAGAACTGTCATCTTCTTCCGGTTACGCGTTTTACGACGCCGTACTTTACGCGCGAAAATAGTTTCCACAGATTATTTCTGCAGGCAAGAAAAAAAATAAGTTAAATAACTAATCAACGATCAGTAAATAAACATTAAACCGATGTGCGTGATGTATTGATACAAGATTATTTTGATAATATTTATTTTTAGAAGTGTTTAAGCACGAGGCAAGTGAAAGATAGTAAAAATAGATCGTGCATACTTAGTTTCTGAGCGATTAAAGATTACGGACGTGAATCGCGTGCTGAAACATCAGTAGAATCGTAAAAGTTTCATAGATTATTGTTTTTTCTAGACGTTTATTATTATTTCTTCTAAATATATTTACGCTAGATTTTCTAAATACAATTTTCAGATTAGTTTAAAGTTTTTGTGTTCGCATACTCTTGTAAAAAATCGTGTATTGCAAATTTTATATAATATTTACACAAGAAAGAAAACTTACACAAGAAAGAAACTTTTGTATCTGCCGAAAGAAAGAATATAAAGAAAGAATATAAATTTTATATTTGCTACTTTTAACAAATATTTATTTAAAATTATTCTTTTATTTGGATTGACTGGTTTTAAAGTTACTGACCTAAATCTACAGCAAAACATGATTGTTGGACTACGTAACTCTAGCATCCGCGATTTGACAATTGTTTGTTATTTTCTTTCATACAGTTAATTCTAGAGAGCATTCATGTCCAATTTTCTCTCTCTCTCTCTCTCTCTCTCTCTCTCTCTCTCTCTCTCTCTCACACACACACACTCTGTCCTCTTTTGTTTCTCTTGTTTTTCTTTTCTGAATTAGAAAAAAAAATTATCAATTACAAATATTTTTAATAAAAATTTTGGCATAATCCAAAATATAAATTGTCTATTATAAATTTATATACAAGATTGCAATAACAGCTATTGAAACGCTTTAACATTTTATTTTTTATTTTTGATCTACTTAATTTGTATCTTAGCCGATAAATATTTTTTGGCAATTAAATATATTGCTTTCACATTATGAAAAAAAAAAGCATTCCCGATTCTTTCATTTAAAGTTTTCGTATTTTTTTAATGTCTGATGTGCTGCTTAAATCTCTATATATTTTTACATTTTTTCAATTTGTGAAAACAGGGTTGAACAATCACTCAGTGCGTAATAGTCGGAAGAAGCTGTGAAGTGACACTTGAACAAAGACATCATCGGGCTTAGCATCCGACAAAATTCAGATTGATAAGAATGAAGCGATTGATATTGCTGTCCTTAGTAGCTGTGGCATTGTGCCACGAACCGTTTCAAGTGATTTTCGAGTGGAAGTCAATTGATTTTGAGTGGCCGTCGGAGGAGGAACGGCAATATGCCGTCATGCACGGCGATTACATAGCGGCGAACAATTTCGTGACCACCGTAAAATTCTGGAAGGACAGGATGTACTTGACCATGCCGCGGTGGAAAGACGGGGTGCCGGTGACGCTGGGCGTCACGTCGGCGAAGCCGGTGAACGGCGTCACGGCGCCCAAGCTGGAGGCCTTTCCCAACTGGGGCATGCAGAAGCTGGGCGACTGCTCGGCGTTCCAACTGGTGCACAGCGTGGAGATCGATCCTAAAGGTCGCATGTGGGTGCTCGACACCGGTCGGCCCACGTCCCTCAGGGAATTCAAGGCCAACTGCCCGGCGCGCCTCGTCATCCTCGATCTCGAAGACAACGGCCAGATCCTCCGCATTTACAACTTCCCCGATCACGTGGCACGCCGCGGCGACACGTACCTCAACGACATCGTCCTCGATCACGAGGACGGCGGCTTGGCGTACATCACCGACAACGGCCAACAAGATCCCGGTATCATCGTGTACTCCCTGAGGAACAACACCTCGTGGAAGGTGCGGCACGATTCCATGAAGGCGAAGTGGGAAGCGATCGGATTCATGGTGGCGAAGACGCATGTGATCAATCCGGTGCACGTGGACGGCATAGCGCTTTCACCGGCAAGCAGTCGCGACAGGTAATATCGAGGAAAAGGGGGTGGTTTCAATGAGATGCATTCGACACTCATTAATATTTATATTATAATTAACATTTTGAAACTGCGAAATGTGTGTTATCTCGGCTAACTTGTAATAATTACCGTCATTACCGAAAGTTTATAAATGAGTTTTATGACTGAAGTTATTTTATATTTTCTTTTTCTCTATTTTTTTTTGTTGCATAAAACATTCCAAGATTATTATTACAGTTTTAAATTTAATCTCGAGTCTTTCTCTTCTTATAAATGTTGAAAAATTTAGTTTTTATTATATGAAATCAAATGAGCGCATTTAATGCTAAATGTGATAACAGTTAACCTATAGATAACCAGTAGTATGGATAACCTGCAGATAACCCACATCTGTTTAATAACATTATTTATCATACTCATAGCTTTATTTAGACTTACACAATTTTATTAAATAATTAAAAGATTATGTTTGCTTTCAAAAAAGTTTATTTTTTATTGTTTTCCTTGATTTGTTTACTCTTTATTTTATAATTTTATTTAAAATATATGCAGAAAATGAAATATTACCATTGTAATAATTTATTTTTACACATACACACATGCATAGTATTGTAAGGATTGAATATTAACTTTTTGAGGGCAATTAAGAAATAAAATAAATCACTTGATAAAAAAACTTAATATAATGTTCTAATAAAATACAATTTTATAACGTCAGGCGAGTCAGTCTATTTTACAGAGTTCTCTACAAGCTATCGTTATACCCGATACTTGCCCGAATCACAATTTCCGCGCTATTCCGGCGACAGTTTCTATCTTTATCTATTTACGCCCACACTATTTCGTGGGAGAGATTACTAATGTCCCTTTTTACGCTTCTCCAAAAATTTCCCACGAACTCTCGTTCTTCGTCTCGTGCTCTCGGTATTCATAGGCCCCTCAAGCCTGATTCGCACTTTTGAGGCCCGTTCTCAATACTGGCGGCACCCCGTGCTGACCAATCTCTTTGCCTCTCCCTCTCTGCCTCTTACAGTATATATTAATACATATATAATAAATAAATAAAATGTGTCACGTATAAATATACATATGTCATAAAATGAACTTCTTTAGAGAGGATCGCGTGTATGCTTAATGTTGAACTTGGCACAAAAAAATATGAAAATTCTATTTTTCTCTTTGCTTCTATCTTCTCCTTTTCGTTATTGCTTTGTTTTTCTTACGAATGAGCTTTTAAAAAAATCATATAAAACTACTTTAACTTTCTGTCGCGCGCCTTGCGTCAAATAAACTTTTGAATATCCTTCGTACCGAAATTTTATATTTACGCAGAAGATTTTTCGACAAATAACAATTAAATTATTTCAGGAAAGTGTACTACTCGCCTTTGTCTTCTTTCCACTTGTATTCAATCCCGGTATTCGCTTTGAAGAACAACGCGACGAGTATTGATCAGTACGTGAAGGAACTCGGGCGGAAGTCTTCGCAGACAGACGGCATGGCGATGTCGTCCACTGGTTCGCTGTACTTCGGTCTGTTAGCCGACGACGCTATCTCCATGTGGGATACCAAAAACGCACCTTCCTTCACCACCGGCCAACGGATAATATCGCGCGATCATGTACTGACGCAGTGGCCCGACAGTTTCGCCTTCGACGAGGACGGTAACTTCTGGTGCGTCACCAATATGTTGCAAAATTTCTTGAACAATCGCGTCAATGTTGACCAGCCCAATTACCGCCTCATTCGGACACGTGTTGGCGTTAGAAATTATCAGTACTATGAGAACGGTACCGCGCCGGAATTACCTGACATCACAGGCGGTGCCAGTACCGTCAGGCTCGCCTTCGCTACAATATTGAGTATCGTCTTGGTATTTATCGTGAAGTAACAGTTTTGTGAAGAAACTTACACCAAAGTTATGCTTTGCACACGCGAAGAAACGACTTACAAATGTTAGTCAGTTAGATCACACTACTTTTAAATGTGCGGCATTTTTATAGCATCTTGTAAGTAGCAGTGTTGCGAATTAATAATAAGAATAAATTCTTTTTTTAATTTCTCATGTTGGTGCTGAATGATGATTTTTGAAGGTGGCTTCAAAAGTGGCGGTCGAAGCTAATGTGAAGTTTTCAAATTGCATCCAGAACTTTGATGCAACATAATATTGCATATATGTCTCGATTGAAAAATGTACAAATAATTATAATCTAAGATTTGAGCAAATATATGTTTATCTGTGCTCGATTTGTATACGGTACGTCTGCTTATGGAATCTCCGTAGTTCGCCAGTTTCTAGCCCAGAAATAGATTACTTCGCTCGATCATCCCGTGTAGGGGTCATCTGACCTAGTTTCTGCGACTATTATCTCTTTTCTAAATTCTACCATTGCTTTGAAAGGACAGCATAGCAATGACATTGCAAATATTTAATATGCATCTTTGAGTCGCTAGAAGACATTAGGAAGTCGTTCCGAGTTAACAATGCTACTGCATCTACATAATTAAAAAAAAAAAATTTTATCTTATTATTTATTTACTACACTGTGTATTTAGATTTAGATGTAAATTAAAAATATGATACAATTAACGATAAAAAAAGCTATTAAAAATTGTGAAAGGGTAGAAAATGCTTACTCAAGAACGATTTTAAGAATCGACAATTATTTAATCGGCGGTTTTCATTGTTTGAATTTTTGCTGATTTTTGCACGATTTTGCACGAATTATTTATAACTTTTCCTTACTTTAACTGACCAAAGCACGCCTGATCTTATGCAATCTTAATGATCGAAAGAGGCAAATCTGAAAATGCATTAGAAGTCTGAGCATTTTTATTTCAATAAAAATCATAGCATTTTATTTATGAAGAACGCTAATCATCAAAGTATATTGTTCAATGGAAGTCTTAAACGGAAGAATGTATGTATGTATATTTTTATTAATATTTTAGCCGGTATTTTCACACAACGTCAAACCTGAATCAAATAGTTTTGTCACTTAAGTCATCTCATTACTTTTTCTTAAATCTTTCTATGTATATATAAATATTTATTATTATTATTACTATTATTGTTATTGTGTTTAACATTATAATAATCATTGTAATGGAAGTTTTATGTGGCAATATAATGAGACAAGTTCCGAACAAAATGTTTATTTCATAAAACCTCATCCTCGTATTTTTCTCTGTTGCAGTCAGTAAATAAATATGCCCCACGATGCATCGCGATCCCATGGAATGTTCCATTCGCTCTTGTCGAATGAGTCATGCCTCGTTTTTCTCTCGATGGTTTCAATTCATCACACCATAAATAAGGCCGCGTGCGTTACTGGCATTAATAAACAGTACTTTCCTCATAAAAAAAAAACTATCTGAGATCTCCGCCGTTAAATCTGGCTAATGAGTGCATTGTGCGGCCCAGCACGATTGAATCACAGGTGTGGTTGTGGTAAGTTCCCAGTTTTGTAATTTCATTTCTTGACTGACGGTGGTGCAGACTTTACGAGCGATTGCGTGACACACATACGTACGTGCTTATAGTGCGCACGTGTCGTCGCGCAGAAGTGGGACAACGCACAATTCGCGAGGATAATTGTGGGAAAATCGCGTTTTCATCTTTTCGTTTCCTTTTTACAGCATTTAATGCTGATATCGCGCAAAAAATGGAGATGCGCTTGATGCGGGCGCATCACGTAAAGTGCGCTTTCCAAATGATGTTAAATATTTAATGTTCTTTTCAAGTTCCAATATCAAACTATGTATTAGAGATTTAAAATTGGAGAGTAGAATTCGAACGACGAAATAATCATAATTTTAATCAACTTTATACTAAGAGCAACTGAATTCTAATCTCGAATTTGCAATCTTCAATCTACAAGTCTGATACGACTGAATAATGATTGAAAGGATTTTAAAACATAAATTTGAAATTCAATTTTTTTTTATTTCCTTTACATTAGTAGCATATGATACAGATAGTGCAGGAAAATAAGGTGATATTATGTATAATTGCGAAAATTCTTTTTTGACGACATCATGACATTTATGTCATGACTCAAGAGGAAGAATTGCATAATCCACTTGCCGCGTTTAATGTGTGTATAAATTCTCACCTTGGAATCTCTATTTGCACATGATTACCTCGTTATGGAAAAACAGTCACACACTTACGCGCATGGACGTCTATATAAATGGTATGTACTGATGCAATATTTGTAATTGTAAAAATATGAATGTAAATAAGAATAATTGGTACTGGTTATATTAAATTGCAAATTATGTTTATTCTGTTTAACGCAATATAACATTTATTTAATGACAAAAATCGTAATTTAAATACTATGTGTGTTAAATGAAATAATATATATAGACGTAATCTTGAAATTTACAGCACAATCCTGTAGCACTAAGGATGACTATTTCTGACGTCAAGTAATTTTATCCGATGACTTTTCAACAAAATTGCTAGCATGAAAAATAAGATATTGCCATCGAAAAAGGAAGAAATAACTTTTAAACTTTTTCTACGTTAATATTTTATTCACATCGACAATTTTATCGACAAATTTAAATCGTTCGTAAAAGATAATCGACGCTAAAAATAGTCAGGCTCTAAGTTACCATTTGTCAGTAAAACCTTTTTTATCGATTGATGTTAATTAACAAAATTGATTAACAAAATTATCTGTGTATAATATATTGTTTTTGTTATTTATATAATGAATTTTATATATGTATATTTAGTAAATATAAGCATTAAAAAATGCAAACACATAAAAAGAGTCTCATGCATATTGAAAAAAAGCTTTTATGTTTTTATGATCCAATCTAGTGGTTCTCAAACTTTTTCGTTTCACGGCACCTTTTAACGTAAGAATTTTTTCACGGTGCCATAAGTTCAGAAAATACTGAACAATTACATTTAATACTCAAAATTGTAAATTGCTTAACTTAATTTCCACAAGAAAAATTTGGAATTTTTTAAAAGTTGCTTAAAAATAAGAATATTCAATTGTTTACTTATAAATACATTATATTTTACATTGAAATGTAAGAAAGACGTAGTAACATTATGAAAAATCTTTTTTTAACAATTTATTTAGTTTTTATTATAGCATTTTGTTTATATTTTTTTATTGTAATGCAGTATAATATTTATATGTATAAAAATATATAATCTTTATATTCGATGTTAAAACGGTGAATATAATAGTGAATATAATAGATAAAGAGTAATTCGTGATGTGCCAAGTAGATGTCGCTTCCTATCATTGGACCGTGAAGCGGCGCATTGAATTAAGATTGCCTGGAATTATTAAAATTATCGAATATCCCACGGCGCATACTTTGGAAATCACTGATCTAATCTTTGATCTGGAAAATTTTCATACTCTCTTAAAATTTTTTCTTTATTATATCTTATGCAGGTTGGATTAGTATGGTGCTTTGTCGATTTATTAATACTAAGATCTTCCAGAAAAGTTTTTTCCGTCGTAATTCCAATAAAAATTTAATTTTATTAAATTTCCCTCACCAGAACCATCAAATTAATTGTGTTTTATTAACACATTAGTTGATTAATAGAACATTAGTAAAATACGTTTGCAAGTATGTTCCATAAGATCCATAATGTGCCTAAGATAAGTACAGTTTTGAGGATTTGATGCATCCAGTAAAGTCTGCAAGTCATAATTTCTTAATAAAACTTAATATATTGTAATTCCTTGTATGTATTTATAATTTTTTAATTTAAATTAAAAAAGAACTAATCCAAATACAAGAACAAAAATTGATTACCTCTTATATTTAATACGATTAATTTTCAAGGTACTGTCATCTTCATTGAGTAAATATAAACGTATTCCTTTGTAATAATCAGAGAGATAAGTCGGCCAATCAAATGCCTTCATGTCAAATTTAAATAATTGCTGATCATCCTTGCTCATATTATTCCACATTGCTTCAACATTATCATTGCTGATAATGTTTTCGTTAAGACAAAACGGTGCGACTGCTTCGCAAGCTATATGAATCTTTTTATATAATGTCCACATTCTAAAACATATCAAATAAACGTGTAAAATAATTTTAACTCTCTGCTTTACAGACGAAAGTTTTAATGTACGTTTCTATAATACTTTGGTTTACGACCCATGCACACTCTTGCCATGTCCACCAAAAAGGCCGGCAACAAATGAGCCAGCCAAATACATATTTTGTATATTATTTTTTGTCGAACAAATATGGTATGCGGCAGCCATATGATATTATTACAAGGATATCTTTCGCACAAGATGTGTACGTAATTGATGTATTGGCCCCACTTCGGCATGTCATTTGGCGACACGCTATTGTAAATTAACATGTTCTTGCCTCTTCTACAAAGTAAATCCATTTAAATGTGCAATGTTTATTTGTACATTAAATTAGTAAGTTAATCCACTGAAAACTAAATTATTATAAATCTTAAAATTTTCTTATCAATATTATATATGTATATTTGTTTGATAGTAATAAAATAATTAGGATAAAAATTTTGTATTAATGTTAGCTGCAATATTTATGGTCTCTAGGTTAAAATTTAAAAAAAATTGAGAATAGTAAACATTATTTTGAAAATTTATTGCATTATCTATTTGTGTGTGTGTGTGTGTGTGTGTGTGTGTGTTCTTGATGTATACACATACTTACTCTTCAAAACGAACGCATGGCTCGAAAATGTCCAAGCTACTTCAACTACCTGAGATTTTGTTTCTCAAAAAATAATAAAAATCAAATATTTAAGATAACTGTTATCTAATTTTGTAATTTGGGAATTTAATTAACACTTCAATGAACTTATGTAAATTTTTTTAAAAATTTTTGGAGCACATTAAGATTACTTAATAAAGCGCAGAAAAAATAGACCGGTGAGTCTGGTTTACGTTGACAGAAAACAACAGTCCGTTTTGAGGATTATTAATGATAATCGTACCTGCATTGTTGATTAAAAACGTCCCATGCACTGGCGATTAAAGCATTTATAGTAATGTCAACAGGTATAATATTTGTTCTCACTTCGTTATTGCAGTAATGAAATCTCAACCAACCGAGCATAGAAAACATTGTCAATCTCGTCGGACCATAAAAAGTGTCTACCCATCCTTTTGCCGGTTCGCTAACACTACTTATCACTGAAAGGAATATTAATTATAGAATCACTAGATATTTACGTTCAAGCAAAGTTCAAAATAATGCCGAAGTAACTTGGCAGAAATGCAGCGCAGACCACTCGAAACATCAACAAAGTGTAGAACGAGAGAAACGCTTACGAACGAATTAATTTAAAACATTTTCTGATAAAGACGTTAGCCTTGTAGATCGTGAGGGTCGTGGGCAACCTTCTTTGGCGGACAATTATCCATTGAAGTGGTGGAAACCAATCCACGTACAGTTCGTGATCTTGTGGAAGAGTGGAAAAAAACAACAACTGAAGGCCATTAGAAAGTAATCAGGAAGAGAAAAAAGGACTCGAAAAATGAATTTTTCTATGTCAGTTGATCGTCGTCTAAAGAATGTTGTTCGTAACTTTCACGATTTTCAAGGGTAACATCTCCAGCGTAAAATTTTTGAATCAATGTTGGACTGTTAGGCGCGTGATATTTTATTAATTTTACATTACGAGACTTTATTTTTACATTACTACATTATTTTGTACATCTTTTTTTCTTCATAAAGTAAATTAATTAATAATTCACTCGAAACTTTAAATACTCATAAATTCTAATAAATGCAGTTCCCAAAAAAATGTTTTATATATAACATTTATTTGTTTTTTGTAGTATATAAAAGTGTAACTTCTAGAGGAAAATAGGAGGAAACATAACTTTATTACTATTATAAAATTTTCCGAGATATATAAATCATATAAAAATAGTGAAAGTATTAATCGATTTGAGTTATGACCTTAATAAAATAAAATAATTTAAATAATGTCGCAATATTAAAAAAAAATGCTTGGTAAACAAAAAAGACACAAGAAGCAAAGTAGACAAGGAATTACGTACTAAACGATTTAATAAATTTTTGAATATGCAAACTTGTTTACTAAATAATTAATTAATTTCTCACCTATAGATGGTCTAAATATCCCCATTGGCACATTTCCACTTTCAATTCTGTAGAATTCTTCCGCTATAGCTTTCGTAAATGTGTAAGTATTCGTCCATTGTGAAGAGATTCTGTCAAAAAGATATATATCAATTTACCTTCTTACATAAATATATATATATCACTTTTATTGTATTAAAAATTATATTAATTTATTTGTATTATATTAAAAACAACGAAAGTTTAGGAAAGGATACGTACTTAGGTATAAATTTGTCAAGTTCATTTTCCGAAAGAGTATTTGTCAAGGCGATAAGACTTTTATAGTCGATGGGACATTTATAAAAACGCTCCTCGATATGTCGGACATGGAATTGCGAATAGATGGTCGATACATGTATAAATGACTGCAAGCAACGATATTTATATTAATACAATTATTTCTCAAAATAGATAATAATTACGTAAAATTCAATCATTTTTTCCGATTAATATTGTTAGAATATTAAATTTTCCTATTCGTAACGATAGAAATCCGTATTATAAAATAAAAAATCACCTTTAAGTTTGTCATACATTTAATGATATTGAAAAGTTCACAGGAAGCGGTAACATTTGATGCCGTACTAGTTTTTATGTTCTCATTGAAGCGTACAGTCGCTGCCACATGAAAAACTATGGACACCTACAATAAACAAGAATGATTTTTACATTATGAACGAATCGTGCGAACGAAAGAGAAATTTGCACCATTTACTTTTTGTATTAGTATGTCCTTCTCATTTTCAGACAATCCCAAACCGTTGGCTTCAAGATCGCCTGTAATCGGTACAATTTTCTTGCGAAAGTGAGGTACTTCCTCTTTCAGTCGGTTATAAAGCTACAAATTATAGATTTAAGTGATATGATTTTACAAGTGCATTACGTTGCATACTGATATATTGCTTTTTTCAGACACCCACCGGAGACTCGAACAGTTCATTCAGTCGGATTTTGGGATCTTTGCTTTTCTTTGAACGTATCAGTAAATATATCTTGGAGATATCGGGGCAGCTACGCAATAATTTTTCAACCAAGGTCTTACCAAGGAATCCAGTACTTCCTACAAAACGTAACAAGGTAAAGCTGCACAATTAATATGTGTAAATCAGAAAACGTTGACCAAATTATATTCAGAAAATTCTTTGAAAATTTTAATCAATTAATGCTGTAAAGTGTAGTTCTTTCAATTAATATATAATAGCGTTTCTCAGCCACAATTTCGGGCCCTCTTTAGTGAATACATATTAAAAGAAAATAATCTCTAATAATTAATGTAATAAAGAATAAATTCAAAAATCATACGCGCAGCACCTGAACGGCACAACGAATCCGGCACAGTATTATTCAACTTGTATTTTTTTTTTTTTAATATTAGAACTAATATGTGAATATAATTATTCCATATAATTAGTATATTATTTTTAAGTATATTATATATGCTGTTATAAATACCTGTAATGAAAATCGACTGTCCTGCGTAAAATCTTTGAATCGATGTTTGACTTTCAGTTTTATTACTTTCAACGCAATTCATGATATCTGAAATTAGAAATAAAAAATATGCAAAAAGGCTCAAATAATTAAAGCAATCATATAAAAATTATCAGAAGCGCAAAGAGCCAAAACACCAGATTTTTCTACTTCATAATTCATTATTTCACAAAATATTGTATATTTTTAACTTCCCAGGGAGAACAACAGGTCTAAGAAACGTCTAATAGACGTCTATCGACGTCTATTAGATGTCTATAGACGTTTATTAGACGTTTCTTAGACCTGTTGTTCTCCCTGGGTTTGTAATACATAAAAATTTATTCGATCAAGTTTTTGCTATCATACGTGTTTGTTACAGAAATTTGAAGCATCATACATAATGAAAATAATAATTATTATATAATCTATTAATTGTTTATAACAAAGAACGTCAACAAGTGAAGCGCTTGCCCCCCTCCCCTCCTCTTGCAGAGAAGAAATAATTATGAAAATCATAAATGTAAAGAAGCATCTGATACATTACAATCTATTTCCACCATTCCACCATTCCACCATTTTTAATATTAATTAGGCGCTAAAGTAGAACGCGTAAAGCAGATGATGAAAGCTCAATTGTGTGTAAACAAGATGTTTCATAATGTTCCTGTCAACGCTCGTGTGCGGATAGAGTGCAGTGAACTAAATAAAAAAGTCGTTTACTATTTTGCAATTTTCGCAATAATAATTGTGATAGTAATTAAAAAGTATTGACGAATAATCGCGCGTTGGGCGCGGCTAGACTATGGGCTGTACGCTCTAGGCGTGGCAGCAACCAGGATCGCACGAAAAGTACTTCTGCTCTCGCCATTGTAATTTTTCGTTGCTGTGCAATCCTCGTCCGCACACGAGCGTTGGCAGGAACATCATGAAACATTTTGTTTGCACACAATTGAGCTTTCATCATCTGCTTTACGCGTTCTACTTTAGCGCCTAATTAAAATTAAAAATTAATTAAAATTAATTATTTACTCGTGAGATTAAGCACCATATTTTATTTGCACATTCATTTTGTAGCAAAAATTTCAAAATTTACTATACAAACTTAAAACACAGAGAGATTCATTTAATTCACAATATTACCATATCATCGAGACGAGTTTAATAAATTTCGAATGGAAGAGCTCGATTCGAAAGAGAAGCAGGGCGGCTCGGCTACGCGCAAAGGATCAAGTTCCGGTGATTTGATATTAAACGACACCAAGATGCAGAATCACAAAATTATAAACTTCCAATTAACAGTAGGAAAAGAGAAAAAAAACGTTTATTTATTATACAGCGTTTTCGATAATAGAAGTAAACTTGATACAACGAAATGATATTGCGTGCAGTACAACTTCGTTCTAATGTTACTGCTCTTAGCAATATGCAAGATTAAAACTGCTGCTTTCACTGCTAGCATTACACTGGAACTCAACTCAGACATCTCACCAATGAGATTAACAGTGAACGCATTAAGGATATTGTAATTAACAAAACGTAAAATTAGAAACTTACAAGGAAAGTAACTCGAGTGTTTTTCTTCGATTTTTATCGGCTTTGAGTTATGCGTGGAGCAATTGAAAATAAGAACTTCCTACCGTTTTGCCGCGCCAATTATATACGTTGGCGGTCAGAAATTTATTTTTCTTTTTAATTTTCACTCGATGCGCCGCACTTTACCAGAACTTGTTTTGTCTAAACTGTTACTTCACTTTAATATTGTAAAATAATTTTAACTCTTTACCTAAAAATATGGATAAAATGTTCAATAATTTTAACAAGTCGTATCAGCGAATCTAATTTGATATTTTAATTCTAAAAAATATAAAAAACTAACTCAATGACAATGTAGATACTTTCTGGATGCTCGTGATTTATAAACTAAATAAGAGTAAAATAAACTTACCGAACGTCTAATACTGCTACACAGAGAATAAAGTCTATTACTACCAAAGTTTCTTAAATTCTTCGTCTTGCGTCGGTCTTCAGAAAATGCAAACTGAAAACATAAGTAAGTACGGGCTAGTGAGCCATGTAACATACTGAAGTGAACTTTTTCCAACAAGAATCAATGTGTAATTCGCGGCTTAAGAATAGCAATAGTAGGTAGGGATGTATGTTCTCCTTCCACATTTATTATCGTGTATGGTGGGGATATTAAAAACGAAAACAGATATGAGATAGACG